AATTACAAAATTAAATTCGGGGCTTTTAGCTTCCATTTTTGAAACATGGTTAGAACTGTGTAGCGAAAAAAAACATATTTTAAATAAATTAATTTATAATATTAATGCTCTGTAAATTTACATTGAGCACTATTTTGTAAAAATAAAAATATCTATAAGAACACCGTATTATATATCTTACTGTTCTTTCTTTCTTTATATATTATATATATATATATATATATATATATATATATATATATAAAGGGATAATGCGAAAGAGGAATATAGAGAAAAAGATGGCGTTGAGAATGAAAATACAGATAATGAAAGGAGGAGAAAAGCGAGAGAAGGAGAATAGGTAGAAGAAGCGAGAGGCAGTAAGAAAGGCATAAAAGGAAAGTAAGTGAGATAGAAGATAGGGAAGAGATAAATAGAAATGAAAGGAAGCTAAGAGAATGACGGAGACCTAGTAACCGAGATGAAGTTGGAGAACTAATACAGGATGTTTTAAAACGTACGTCTATCGTTTTATTTAAACATCTACATATGCATCTATACACATTATTACCTAAGCAAAGGCAGATTCATATTTATTTAAATGAAATAACAAAATACCATTTGTATTTACTCAAGATAAAATAACAAAAGAAAATGGAGACAGCTTTCTACTAACATGTAGATCTTCGAGTTGCTTGAATTTCATCTGCGAATGTCAGGTGTTGTAAGTTTGGATGTGCTGGTGGCGTAATGAATAATAGCTCGAAATTAGAAAATCAAAGAGCCGTTCCAATTCCAGTCGGGTTCGTTATATTCGTTATTTACGCTCAAATACCATTCGGAAAGGTATGAATCCTTCTCTTCTCCCCCAGTTATGGGTTAATTAGTAGAAGTTGTATCCGTAAATAATTATTATCTCCAGGAAGTTTTTAAAATGTAAAAAAAATATTATCTGGCTTTAAATAACCTGGAAATGTCGATAAGCCATAAAAAAAATCAATTGCAGTGACTACACGAGGTGGCATTGTGTCTACAAGATTCTGGGATTTTTGTGCAATTATAGCTATCCAGTCATGTTCCAGGGCTGTCCACGTCAGGTAAGCTTGACTGTAGTTGCAGATGTTAAATATGTCTCATATAGGTTTTAAATCTGCTGGTTAAGTTACCTAGAGTTCTGTCAAGTATTTCTAGAACCAGTTCCGTGTCACCCGCGTACGATGGAACAAACCATCGGGTATAAAGGTTTGCCGGGTTAACAGTGACTCTGTGAGGAGTGGTGCGGAATTGTCGGATATTCCAGGGTTGTCCATAACTGAGTTTTTTTTTTGTTTTGTTTTTTCTTGCTGGGTGTGACTGCGGGATTTTAAATCTGGCAAGCGCTTCGGACAGGAGTGCGCTTAGATGTCAGCAGACTGTTCTTGGAATAAATGTTGTCTCATCTTCGCACGTTATCTTGCTGGAACAAATCATCACCATCCGGATGCATTGCGAACATAAATGGGTGTATCTGGTTTACAACAAAATCTATGTATGCTATATTCCAAGTGCTTTTTGCGAATTTTTCAACAGAACACACTCCATAAAATTACAGAAATACCGCTAACTTGCACAATACCATGCTGACAAATTGGAATACTGTCTCCCCCATACAGGAACTCTTCTGTATATCCAAAAGAAATAGCAATGTGACTCTTCTGACCTTGTGACATGGCACCATTTCTCTACAGTTTAATGATGACCACATGATGCACAATAACCAATAATGATGTGCTAATAATAATAATGGTACCATTGGTGATTGTTGGTTACGAAACTCCGTTGTACAATACGTTAGCAAATGACTTAAGCAATATAATTGTTGCATTATGATGTGATTTGATACAATCTTCCACATCGTTAGATGATAAACTTGCCTTGTAAGTTGCTGTCTTTTTTGCGTCACATCCAACAGTCCTTTGGTAGTAGCCATCGGTGGGTTTCTAGAGGTCCGCCAGTGGTAACATTGTCGAGAGGAACACGCTAGCCGTCCGACAGCGGTCATCAGCGGTCCACCAGCGGTAAACGCTAGTGGCATGCCACGCAGTGGCAGATTGGTGGCTTGGGTGTAGGGATGTGATCTCGCGTATTTTTCATGTACGGATGACATCTATCCAGAATTCACATATTCCATGTATGCAAACGATACTGTTTCCCTCGAAAAATCTAGAGTAATTGCCACCTCAGAGATAGAGTTGATCTTTCTGTTTCCAACACTCATTCATCTCCAGTGTTAAATCTTGTCCGACACACATAGCTGCTACAGATACACTGACACAGCTATTTTACATCTTCACCTATTATGTCACATATATATCCTCCAGTCGTGTCAATATTTACAAGCAGAGGAAAGTGAAACCATGCAGTGTATTGTTGTTTCTAATTTTATGACACCTCAGGTTATGTTTGTGTTCGTGTCAGCGTACATTTATTCTAGGACATATAATGAGGAAAGAAGGATTAGAAAATTTGACACTCATGGGACGTAATGAAGACAAAAGGGACAAGTGGAAACAGAGGTTAATCTATCCAATGATCTTGCGTAAATGAATGACAGAACAGTGAATTAAAGCGATATTAAAAAGAATTGAACAATATATTTTCAAACGCTGCCTGAAAACAAAGAATCCCAATTGAAGTCAAATAAAACATAATAAAATAACTTTTGTACTTTGCTGTTCAAACATGCATAACGAGAAGATATTACACAAATACCTCTTATATATATATATATATATATATATATATATATATATATATATATATATATATATATATATATAAGGTGTAACTGTCTGTCTATATTTCTGGGGATGAGGTATTATGTACAGTATTTACATTAGTCGGACTATTGTCCTCATCTTTTTGTTGCCATATTTGTCACAACGTTTCGGCCGTTGTACGCTCCGTCCTTCAGTTCGAAATTCCAACCACCTGAAGAAGGCCGGAGCGTACAACGGCCGAAACGTTGTGACAAATATGGCGACAAAGATGAGGACAATAGTCCGACTAAAGGTGTAACTGGTTTACAGCAAAAGCTATGTATGTTACAGATTTTTAAATCTTACGTGCTAATAACTTTGGGAAAGGTATAAAATCCTCTTCTTCTCCCCACCCTCAGCTATGGGCAAATAGCAGGACAGACCGGGTTCTATAGCCTTGGATGGCAACTGGTCTACCGCAGAAAGAAATGGCAACCTGCTACGGGAATAAATTATAATAAATAATTATGAATGTATATATTTATGAGCGTTGTTCCAAAAGTAATGCCCCCTATTTTATTATGTTGTCACGCGATATCAGAGGAATATGTTGTTCGTATGAGAGTTGAACCTTTCCACCAATAATCTGTAAATCTTGCTCTTGTTACAGATATCAGTTGAGTGGTAGTTTGGCCAAATGGTGCCCGACAGGAAAGTGCGTACGAAAGTATATGTGTGTGTGTGTTTTTTTTTTAATTTCTTTATGCGGGAAAAATTGTAACTGCTGACATTGATCGACACTTTCTGAATGCGTATGGAGATCACCTAGTGGATGTAAGCAGAGTCAGTTGTTCAACTACGAAATATAAAGCGCCTTGGTCAGCTCATGGAATTATATCGGAGTTTAATATCGGCGTTAATGCGTTAAAAATGATGTTGGTAACGTTCAGATAAAGCCAAGTTTGTGCTATATTGATCCCATGGATGTACACACAAGAACAGAAAGGCCGGCGTATGCAAGTCTGTTAGAAATTGCTAAACAACCACGTGACTCGGTTTCTGAGCTGTGTAATGAACGGTGACTAGTCGTGGTGTCAACATTACAATACAAAATCAAAATGAGTGGTGGCATGGGAATTCTTTGTCAAAGAAAAATTTCAAGCCGCATCTATCTGCAGGGAAAATGATGTGCAGTTTTTTGGGAGAGAAAAGGGGCCATTTCGCTTAATTTCCTGGAATCCGGATAGATTATCAACTTTGATCATTGAATCGCGACGGTAACTAAGCTAAAACCCAGAACTTCCAAATCCAGGCCAAAGAAAAAAAAAACAACACTTGCAATACGACAGCGTTACACTCAACACTAGTTTGAAATCTGCCATGGGTCACGTTGAAAATTTTAGCATGGACTGTGCTACTACACATACCACATCGTCCAGATTTGGTGCTTACCGACTTTCATCAGTTCGAAGATCATTTTCACGGTAATGACGCCAACTTCGCTTACGTGAAAGAGCGAGTCGCCTCGAGTGGTGCAGATTTTCATGAACGCAACATGTCGACACTCGTTCATCTCTGGCGAAAATAAATAACCAGTGACAGGGAATATCTGGGAAAAAATATTTTTATTGTAGCAGAAAACTTTCTCTATGTATCGGTATTATTGTTCTCCCTGTATCTGTTGTTTTTGCGTAAAGAAATTGGAGGCATTATTTTCGGAACAATCTGCGTAAATTTCTGAATGCAAGGTACAAAGAAATATACATAGAAAAACTTCCTTACGATACACACGCACACATGCACACATACGTGTATGTTTCTGTATATGTGTTATATATATATATATATATATATATATATATATATATATATATATATACATACATATATATATATATATATATATATATATATATATATATATATATATATATATATATATATATATATATGGAAAACGATATTACATCAAGAGTTATTTTAGGAAATCTGTAAAATCTTTAGGACCTCATCGGAATAAATTGATGTTCTTTAGTCCGATGAAATCTTAAAGGATGAAAACGTGTTGCAAGAAATCTTTTTACACTTTGTCATATATTTTCCTAATATATATATATATATATATATATATATATATATGAGTGTGTGTGTGTGTGTGTGTGTATTTATATATATAACTCTGTGTGTGTGTGTGTGTGTGTGTGCGTGTATGTGTGTGTGTGTGTGTGTGTGTGCATGTATGTAGGTATGCGCTCGTGAGTGTGTGTACAAAAAGTTACTTACCTCCAAGTTTCCAAATATCGGCGCTTCGGCATTCTGCTGGGACGGCTGAAACACATTGAAAAGCATCTCCATGTCTTTCCAGCTTCTGTAATATCGCTGCTTTCTCTGTCCACGTGTCAAAATTTAAGGGATCCTTTTCAAGCGAGATTTCGTAGGATTTAAGTGCCGTAGTTAAGTTTCCTGCTTTGTTTTCTTTCCTCGCCAACTGAAGGTACTTAAGCGCCAACTCTGGGTCGGGCATGCCACAATAGACGCTCGGTAATTTATTGTAACCTTTCAATTCAATTATTTCACGCTCGTACTCGGCCAGTTCGTCATCCCCAGGATAAGGCTCTTGTGAACACAGATTAACAGCGTTGTAACTCATATCTTTACCTTTCTCTTTTTTCTCGTACGAACTAACGATGGCCTTCTGCATCTCCCGCAGATTCTCTGTAATGACCTTGTCGTTAGGATCTATCTCTAAGCCTTTACGGAAGGCCATAAGCGCATCTTCAAAACGGTTTGCTTTCGTTAACGCCTTACCATGAAGCGTGTAACCGTCCGTGATATCGGGATTAGATTTGATCACTTCTAACGCATCCTCAATAGCATGGTCGATGTCTCCAAGGGCAAGATAACACTGGGATCTTTTCTGGAGGGACTGAATCTGGGTTTCAGCGTCTGGTTTTGATGAAAGCACTACATTGTAGCTGGACAATGCGGCTTTGTAGTTTTCTGCTAAAAGGAATTTGTTTCCTTCTTCCAAAATTGACTGAGACATTTTAATAGATTTAGAAATTAAAATATCGATGCTGATATTTCATGTGACTATCTGAATCCCAATTTTTATTTCCTGGGCCTTTTATTTTTTTTTATTTTATTTTACAAATCCTTCTCAATTACGTATCATTCACCGGTGATCGTCAAACTTTTCTTGAGGTCCGTACGTTACCTTCAAAGAAAAAAAATTTATGAATAATTATTTAAAAGAAAAATATGAGAAACAAGGTGATTGTATTGGGTAACCCCAAAATTGTACAATAATTCAAACTGTTCTAACCTTTATATCTATTTACTAAAAGAAATAATATTTCTGTATATGACAATATATCATCTGTGAATTTTATTGGTCTAATTATGGAGGATCATGTCATGCAAATTACTTCCAATTTTTGTTTCGCAAATGACCATTATTTTTCCAATTGCAGCTCATAATATTTTCCTACCTTTTCTTTCTTTCTTTCATAATTTATTTATATGAATTTAATTTTATTACTTTCATGTATAAAATTATATTTAATATACGTATAATAATTTTATTCCATCGCTAATCACAGAAAAGCTAATCACAGAGTCCAGCTAGTTATCGTTGCTATTGAAGAATTATCCAAGTTTTGAAAAAAAAAAATGGAATCTGAAAATGAAAGTAGTGCTCATAATAATCAGTGGGATCAGTTCTAAAATCCTTGCATAGAGACTGAAATAATTGAGACTACACTTAATGGATACCAGCTCTTATTGAAGAATCGGAGAATCGAGTTCGAATTCCAGTCGAATCCATTACATTCACTTACGTGCTAATAACCTTGGGAAAGGTATGAATCCTCTTCTTCTCTCCACCCCTAGCTATGGGTAAATAGTAGAGCAGACCGGGTTATATAACCTTGGATGGCAACTGGTCTACCGCAGAAAGAAATGGCAACCTACTACGGGAAAAAAACCTGCCTCGTCAGTCATGTGTCGAAAGATACATGATCGCCTAAGCGTGTATCACGCATGGCACATAACTGACCGACTGACACTCGTGTTGAAATCAACGTGAGTGCGGAAATTTATTGGAGATTTAAAGAGAGCATCAACTACTTTTACTATGAAGACGCAAATAATAATAATGATGATCTTATAAACAGGGTCGTGCTAAGAGACCACAGAAGGTGAAAGAAAAAGACATTGAGAAAAGATCAGACACTCACACGGAGACTAGAAAATCTGTGGAACATGAACGTGAGAATCGGACTCATAATAGTTGCCGCATATGGAATCATGTCAGAAATAGTAGATAAAGTACAAACCGCATTTCTGGATCTACTAAACGTATTACCAATTGTATTATTACGTCAATACATCTATTTGTTATATTTCATTCCTGCGTTTGTCATTCATTTGAGACCGGATTTCATCTCGGAATCTACAACAATAATGTTCCTGATAACTGTGTGGATTAGAAGATTGTTAGAGATCTAAAAAGACTTATCATCACTTAAACTATATCAGATTTTACTATGCAAGTCAATGTTTTCATAATAAAATTGATTTTAACAAACCGATGTTGTCACGAGTGAGGGGTTCAACCGAGAGACAGTAGCTACAGGGTTTCGACCGGCTGTAGGTTAAATCTGTACATGGGGCTGAACTACTGGCAATATATTCAGGGGTGTGATGACATGACATCGTACCAGGCGGGGTGCTTCTTAGACGGAAGTCAACCGACAGGGCAGAGGGTTTTTTTTCCAATTGATTCAACGTCCGCGTATCCGTAACCAAAGCGAGTATTTAAATCAGAGGATATCTGCTGTCGGAGGATATCCGCTTAAGAGGATTGGCTTTCACCAGGTCTACTTTGTTCAAGACACGCTACTCATGAATGAATTCCTACCGAGACATGTGAAGAGAGTTGGCCAGCAGTGACTCTACGACCACATTTGTTTGATGATGATGATGATGATGATGATGATGATCCGATGTTGCTAAAGTTTTAGGATATATTTATATAATCAATATATCATGTGCTTTATAGTCTCTTTAAAAAATATTGATAATAACCTGTTTTATGGGTGTCATTTGTCTAGAAAGCAAGAAGCCAGAAGAGAGTTTCACGAGCGAGAAGTGCGAGTGAAGAAACCATTAGCATAGAACTTACGGTTAAATCTAACCATTTCAACTGTAAAATGATGATATCTTGCGCTTAAATTCATAGAGTCTAAGTACCATAGAGGAGAGATAATCAGAACAATTTCCATGACAGTATTTATAGAAAAGTCACAGGGAAGATACGTTACAGCTATTGGAAAGGGACTGAAGGCGAGATGCCAAGTCAGGACCAATAACACTGCAGATTCTTCTTTGCATTTTTATCAAGAATCTCTAAATATATGGTAGGAGCACCAGACCAGATGTGATAGCAATATTCAAGGGCGAATGGTAGACTTTGTAAATAAGCAAGATAGATTCTGGCAAGAAAAATTGTCTAGCACGACACAGAGAACCAATTTTCCTAGCAGCAGATCTAGCAATTGATTTGATATAGTCTTTCCATTTCAAGTCAGCGGAAAACATTACCTCAAGAAGGCGCAACGAGTCACTCTCTTAGAGGATAGCATTAGACATGCTGATAGAAGGGAGAAAAGATTCTTGAAATATGTTGTGGACCCAGAATAGGTCTGAAAGAAAACTCGAACTCAGCAATTTAGTGAAACATATTAAACAAAAAGAACGAATACAAAAGTGTTGCACATCCGACTGACAGCAAAGTACAGTCGTCAACTCGTCAACGGTAGACAGCTCTCTTGAGAGGCACAATCTCCCCGTATATATAGTAATAGGACGAGTCCATTTAGTCCATAAAGGTAGGTCCTATAACAAAATGAAATATAAAATTAATTGTTGAGAAATACTTGGGTTTGTTTTTATTTACTCTAAAATTTGAATTGTGATTTATATTTTTTGTTTTCATTTGTAATTATAAATTTAATTAGATTCTTAATTATATTTTCTTCTTTTTTTATTTGCAATGTTATACCCTTATATTTTGTTTCAGTGGGATTAAATTTCTTGTTTGTTTTTTTCTTCTTATTATTATTATTTTACCATCCGGATGCTTCAAGTGCTTTATGTCTTGAAATGCCGAACCATGATCTGAAGGGACATGCGCTTCCCCTCCCTTATCTACGTCTGTGCCTGTGAACTGGAACTGTTCTCCCTTGAACTTCGCATTGAATCTATGACTTTCTCATGAATTCGGTAAAGTTCATCAGTACACCAAGAATTTCGCCCTCCCATACACGCTACTCGATACATGTTGAGGGCAATTTTTGACATTCCAAAACAAAAAGAAGACATGGTATACAGCGGCTGAAACATTGTGACATGAACGAAGAAATTAGTCTGAACTCCACAACTATTGTTACAATGACTAGTCTAAAAAAATTAATCTTTATTTCTGTCGCATTACCACTTTAAATCGTCTTTGATATTACCATCTGAGGTGTGAATATTCACAGTTCTGAGAGATGAGCCATCTATCTATCTATCTATCTATCTATCTATCTAACTAACTTTGTATGCTCTTTTCTATAACTTCACACTGCATAGTATTAAGTGTAAGATAAGATCAGACAATAAATTCAAATTTTGGTAAGGCGTCATGATTATTGACTGAAGATTTAATTATGTTCGAATTCATAAACAATCCTTCATTGGTCGACAAAGTGTATCGAGAAAGAAATAGACATTGTTTAGTTATTTGGGTGTGACAGAAATAAAATGACATTGACTCATTTTAAAAGTTTTATGTTTAACTTTTCTGCGGAAGACTATAAATCCTACTACAGATTCCCAATCATAGATTATATATAACAGAAATTCGGTTAATGGCCACAAAAATTTTCCTGATGCGTAATTTCCACCGTCTTGTTTGAAGTCGTCTTTTAACAACTATTTGAGAATTGCAACTAAAAATGTTCGTAATGCATTCAAATCGTGAAAGAAATCGTTGGGTCGCGCAAATTACTTTTACAAATATGAAAAGGCTACCTTTTAAAAGTTGTGCATTTATAAAATCTGGACGATGTAATATCGGAAAATTTCCGGACGTTCTGTGATTGTTCATTCCAACGGAAATGCGCTCGCAGATAACGTTTGTTGATAGCAAGCCAACTGGCTCAATCTGCCAATAGGTTTCTTACCATTGTGTCCAATTATAACGCAAGGTTTGTTTGCATTGGAATGTCTCTGCGATCATTACGCCGGCTCACAAATCCAACGAGCTTGCTTACATCAAATTCTGCGTAAAGCTCGGCAAATCTAAATATTGCACAAATTTTTGGTGAACAGGGAATTCGGCTTGTTGTTTCAAGGCCTGTCGAATTTTGATCCAAGTTGATGAGCATTCAGGGCATCCAGTCACTAGCAACATGCCAGATATTTAGTTTAATTCGTTGATTCAGTCCTATGAATCAGCGCTGAATAATCCTTATTTACTAGAGCCATGGCCTATTTTGTTTAGGTCTCATCCGGGAAGTTTTTGATACCACCTTGTATTATAGTATACTATAAATGAGAAAAAGAAATAAATATTATCTTAAAGTAAAAAAAAAAAAAACATTTAAAAACTCAACAGTAATCCTTGAATTAATGTTGTTTAAACTTTTTTTTTTATAAGTTTACATTTCAGTTAAAGTGTTTCTCACGAAACGTTGTAAAGATAAAAACATCAAAAGTATTTATAGTTTTATTACTCGTGTTACTTCATCTTATTAACACTGAAACAAATAAATGCGATATTTACGCTCAGAATGATATCAGAAACAACAATGCAGAAGGCGGAATACCTATGTTTTATAGATTACGCAAAAGCGTTTGATAAAGTACGACGCGAACAACTATTTAAACTGCTAGGTAAACTTGATTTATTTGAGAAATATATTACGATAATCCAGAACTCATACTGGGAGCAAACCGCCTGCATACGGATAGAAAATGAATTCGGTAAATACACAGCAA